CGCGCGTACTTACTCAATCGGTCCACAACTGTGAGGATGCTGTCGTGCCCGAGCCGGTCGCGAGGAAACGGACCGGTGACGTCCATGGCAATGGAGAGACCGGGTTCCCGTGGGATAGGCATTGGGTGTAACTCGCCATAGGGATTGCGGTTGCGGGGTTTGCTGCGTCGGCAAACTTCGCACGAGTCGCAATACCGAGCGACATCGGCAATGAGGTCAGGCCATCGAAATTGCTGTCGAAGCTGTGCAATAGTGCGGCTGACTCCGAAATGGCCGGCGAGTCGCGAATCATGATACTCGCCGAGGAGGCGAGTCCGAAGACGACGGTCGCGTGGGACACATAGTAAGTCCTTGCCTCTCGAGTGGAGGAGCAAGTATCGGTCGGGGATGCGATAGTGGCTGGCCGGCGGGTGATCCGAAGATAGCTGTGCGTACAACGTGGCGAAGTCCGGATCAGAATCATATGCCCGGATGAACTGTCGCTGAAGCTCCTCGTCGAATGCGAAGGCATGATGTGTCATAGCGCAAAGATCTGGTCTTCACGAGAGTGCATCTGCTGCACGATTTGAGAGGCCGAGTAGATGTTTAGGTGTGAAGTCAAATTGGTCGATGGTCTTCGCGAGAGTGCATCTGCTGCGCGATTTGAGAGGCCGGGTAGATGTTTCGGTGTGAAGTCAAACTGGTCCATGAAGTACATCCATCGTCTGATCGTGCTGCTCACCGTATCCTGCGTCTTGTAGTAGGTCAATGAATTGTTGTCCGTAACCCATGTGAACCTACGACGCCCAAGGAGGAAGTGCCGCCATCGCTTGAGAGCCATGACGAACGCGAGTAGCTCCTTCTTCCTTGCATCATCAAGCGAGTTGACGGGAGGCACTTTGTGGCTGAAATACTCCAAAAGGTGCCAGTCGTCGTCGTCGTGCTGTTCCAGGACTGCCTTAATGCCATAGCCGGAAGCGTCCGTAGTCACTCTCGTTGGCAAGGCAGGGTCATAGATGCTGAGGACGGGTGCCATGAGCATGGCGTCTTAAGTGCTTGGAATGACTCGCGTGCGTCGTCATCGAATACGAATGGCACCTTTGGCGACTGTAACCTCGTCATAGGTGCATCAATCCTTGAGTATCCGGTGATGAATCACTGATAGTAGCCCGCCAATCCCATGAATGAACGAACGTCCGTGGTGTTGGTGGGCTCGGGCCATACTCGTAGGGCCTCGATCTTGTCCGCGAGTGGACGGATGCCTTGCGGCGACACATAATGGCCCAAGTACTCCAGCTCCTGCCCCGCGAATTCGCACTTGTCGCGGTTTGCTTTGTACTTGGCTTGTCGTAGCCGCTCCAAAACGATGCGCAGGTGTTCCACATGCTCCTCCAAACTCCGGTTGTAGACCAGAATGTCGTCGAGGTAGATAAGTAGGAAACGATCCAGCATATGTCGGAACTCCGTTGTCATAGCCGCTTGGAAAGTGTCTGGGGCATTCGTAAGGCCAAATGGCATAACCAGCCATTCGAAATGCCCATACCGTGTTTTCAACGCGGTCTTGTAGCGATTCTCCTTGCGAATCTCGAGTAAGTGGTGCCCTGACTTGAGATCCAGCTTAGAGAAGAACTGGGCGCCGCCCAATCGCTCGAGAAGGTCATCGATGCGTGGGAGAGGGCCGACGTTCCTGATCGTCTGCGCGTTGAGCATGCGATAATCGATGCACAACCGCAGGTCCTTGTTCTTCTTCCGGACGAAGAGAGCAGGAGCACCGTATGGCGATGAGCTAGGCCGAATCCAGCCTTTCTCTAGAAGTTCGTCGAGTTGTGCGCGAAGCACACTTAACTCTTCCTCGCTCATTCGGTAGATGCAACCGCGCGGAGGTACGGCCCCGTCCTCGAGGATGATCTCGTGGCGGATGGGTCGATCTGGTACTACTCCGTGCGGGCCTTCGAACACGTCGCTGTAGGCGTCGAGAAGTTCGGTGATGCGTGGATCCGAAGGTGAGTCCGTCGATGAAGCGTCATGAGGCGGGAGGGCGTGGAGAAAACACACCCCCATCTCCTCGATGTCATCTCTGATGATGGAAGTTCGCATGCTTGCGGCGGATATCACGTGGCAGCTGATCGAAGGATGAGGAAGAGGCACCGTGCATGGAACTAGTACTCCGTTCCGATCACGAATGTGAACAGTGCGGTGGAAGAAGTTCACCGGGTGATCCTCGCTTCGCAGCCATGACATGCCCAAGATCATGTCAAATTAGGTGTCCAGAATGTCAAAGGACACCGCCTCACTTGCATGAGGGGCAAAGTACACTGGGACGTTGTCAATGCACCGGTCGATTGACTTGTGCGTGTGACCGTCCGCCAACGTGACTTGCGTAGGCTGGGACTTCCTCCGGACGCGTGGGCCAAGGCCGGCGCGCACCATGGAGTCCTGGCTAATGTAGTTGCGAGATGCTCCGCAATCGATCAAGGCGTTGCAGGTCGCCTCTCCGATCTGAATGCGTACATATAGCAATGGTGCGTCGATGTCGTCGTACCGTTGCGTCTTGAACTCGTGGTCGATCTTCGCGATGTAGGCGTGAAGGTTGACAACCTCTGCTCCGGCATCCATCAACGGAGCTGGTCCTGCAGTGTGCAAGTATTCCCGCAATTGTGCCATGAGCACGTTGCAATGCGGTTTCGACAATCGTCCGGTCGAGGGAACGGGCATCCACTGGAAGTCCGTGAACGTCAATGGGTCGAGCTCTTCAAGTCCTGACCATGACGTCGAATCCCCGACGATAGATTGCGGGGAAGGTGCCGAATCGGTTGCCGATGGTGATGAAACCGTGCATGCGATGGATTCTTGCACGTTGAGCGTTTGGTCCAGTGGTGGAACCAAGTGGACAGCATAGTCCTCGTAAGTGTAACGAGAACTTGCGACATTCGCGTTCTCCCCAGATGTGCAGGAGGCCGCTAGCAAGGCGGCGGAATCTGGCGTAGTAGAAGGTGGAGTTGCCTCACCTTCCGCGGAGCTCAGTTTCCCAAGCTGAGGCGGGGTCGCACATCCTCCTTGCCCTGATCCTGGCACAGGGAGGTCTTGTGCTTGGTGCTGTTGCACCAATAGCAGCTGCCGTAGCGGCCGCGGACCTTGTACTCCGCCTCGGTCAAGCCGAACTTGACCCATGGAACTTGTAMTGGYTGTCCATTTCCGGCCTGCGATGCGGATTTCGCCTTCCCATTGTTGYGGGACTTGTTGTTGCTTCGCGGCTGGACAACAGCCACCTGATCTCTGTCACTTGATGCTGGAGTGGCTGCTGGGTTATCTCCACTGTCCGACTGGAATGCAGCGAAGTGCTGCTGTCGCGGACTTGTTCGTACCTTCTCGACATAGGTCGGCTGCCATGTTGACTTCTCGTGTGCAGCTGACCTGTTGGTCTTGATGATTTCCCTCGCCTTGTCAATGATCTCAGCGAAGGTTGAGTACTGCTCGCGATCACCAAGAGCCTGGCTGAATGCCGCACAGGACCTGTTGTAGAACTCACGGCGTAGATGCGTGAATGCCAATTCCAGATTGGGCACCGCCACAATCTTCTGCCACTCCGTGAGCCAATCCCGTGTTGCAGTGTTGTCCTGTGACATGGTGAACAGACGGTTGATGGCGAGTGCCGGCGCGTCGTCGACGATGAACCGCTTCTTCCACAGCCGTGTCAGTTCCTCCCATGTGATTTTGTCCTTCAAGTCCGGTACGTCGACGCCGTGAGAGGTTGCCAGGTGGCTCAACCAGGTCTGGCATCCGCCCTTTGAGTTCAGGAACAGGGTGCCGATGTACGCGTGCTTGGCGACGGGCAGAATCCTGAGTTGCGTTGTGAATGCTTCCCACCAGAGGACCGGATCCTGCTGTGTGTAGTCGTCGAACTTGTCCAGTTGGGAAGTTGGCATCTTCTACATCTTCGGATTGTCATCCGCGTTCGTCGACTGCAACTGCTGGACCTCGGTCTTCAAGGTATGCAGCTGACTGCTGATGGTGGTCTGCGCAGCGAAGGTGTTGATGTCGCCGAGCATTTCCACTACGCGGTCAACGCGTTCCTCCAGTTGGCGGCTAGAGGATGCACTGCTGGAAGCCCCAGCATCTGGTCTTGGTGGAACTTGTTCCAAGTCGTGTGCACGGGCGTCCAGTGCCCGTGTGGCATCCTCGTGCTGAGTCTTCTGGTTCCGCACGGCCCGCTGGAGGTTCGCCAGCTCGGACTGTAGGTGGTTACATGTGTAAACCAACCTGGTCACGAGCTTGGCCATGAACTCCTTATGTTGTTCTTCCGGTGTTGCGTCGTTGCCGTTCGGTTCAAAGTGCCAATACTTGAGTCTCTCGAATGTGTTGGCTTCATGCCGCAGCAGCAGATCCTGGGCTTCCTTGCGGCGAGCCTGGGCATCTGTGTCTGCTTCGGCCTGTAGCCGCAGCTTCTCTGCTGTTGCCGCTTCTTCAGCCTGTAGCTGGGGAGCCTTGACTGCCAGCTGGCGTTGTTCCTCAGCCTCGATTGCAGCGAGCTGAGCCTGGAAGCGCTTTTTGTAGTCGGCAATGGGCTCATTGGCCAGTTGGCCCGGCTGGCCCGTCATGTTGCTGACTTGGCACTGTGTCTGACGTGGCACTGCTGATGTGCCACTGTGTCTGACATGGCCTGCTGACGTGGCACTGCTTACATGGCACTGTGTCTGACATGGCAGTGCTTACGTAGCACTGTGTCTGACGTGGCACTGCTGACGTGGCACTGCTGATGTGGCACTGCTGACGTGGCACTGTATCTGACGTGGCACTGTATCTGACGTGGCACTGTGTGACGTGGCACTGCTGACGTGGCACTGCTTATGTGGCACTGTCTGACGTGGCAGTGTCTGACGTGGCACTGCTGACGTGGCAGTGCTTACGTGGCACTGTACCAACCTGGAAATGCATGCGAGGGGGTGGGTGGGAGGGAACACGTAGGTAGGCAACCAACCCAACAATACTTTCCTCCGGCCCTAATCAACAAATAAAATAAAAAAAATAAAAGAGGACTACTTCCTTTTTTTTTTTTTTTGTATATCTGTCGATCTATTATGAGTAGGACATGTCAGATGAGTACTATGAACGAGATCTAGGCTAGGTTCCGCAAAGTTTCGGTTTTTACAAACTGCGATCTTGAAAAAAAAAATTTGTGAGATGGAGTAAAGATGCGATTTTCAGAAGAGAACGAAATCCAGTTTCTGAGAATATGCAACCTCCGAATATGCCTAACGCAATATTGGTAGGCTTCGCAAGATTTCGGTTTTCAAAAAAAACTTTGCGAGATAGAATGGAAATTCGATCTTCAGAAAAAAATAATTTCAGTTTCCGAGAATATKACCACTTCTATCGTTATCCCAATATGCCTAGAGAACGAAAATACTAACTTCAGAAATTTCAGCTATGTATGCGAAATATCAGAGAAACGAAATGCTACTATCGGGAATTTTCAGACAAAACGAAATGCGATTTATCAGAAATTTTCAGATCTTTGCTACGTAAAAACGAACTACTAATATCAGAAATTTTCAGGTAAAACGAAATGCGAATATCAGAAATTTCAGATAGTTGTTGCGAGAAAAAAAAAAAAAAAATCAGAGATTTGACGAAGTCCTACTTGCGTTACTAACGAGTGATCAATAGATCGCAAGCTGGCTACTTGATTGAGCGGGTCCTCTGAATGAGAGGTCCGCTCCGATACCGAACTGTTGCATAGTGTAACGTGCAGACCAGAACAAGAACCGACCTCTCAATACAAAGTACAAGATAACACAGCGGAAGATTTAGATACGAATGATCCGAACAATCAATATTGCAATGCAGCTCTGAACACACATCATCATCATCGTTATCTGGTGTGAAGGGGTCTGGTGCTTCACACAAGAAGACTGCGCCAGCCCCAACCATACACAGACGAAGGAGGGGTTAGACGAAAGAGGAGGGGAAGATGGGAATGTCGTCAACACCAAGTCTCGGTACAGGCCCAAATAGTCTCTCGTCGAAATGTCTGAATCCCAATGTCCAGTCTGGATCCAATGTCGTCAAGTCTCAAGTCACAACTCTTTCACTCTCTGTCGTAGTCTGAGAAGTCAAGTGGCGAGAGGGTGAGAAGAGATGGTGGACTTAGAAGAGGAAGAAGAAGAACTTTGTGTCTCTCTCTTGGCGCCTTGATGCAGGTACCGCGAAGATGGAGCTGGAGCGATGGCGCCACAGGTAAGTACCACTGGCCTCCGCCAGTATCTCTCCCACTCTACGATCTACCACCTACCAGCACCCAGCGCTGAAGACTACTGCTACGGCTATGGGCGCCCAGCGCCGAAGACTACAACTAGCGCCACTACTACTGCCTAGCGCTGAAGACTACTGCAGCGCTCCTCCTCAGTGCTGCGGCCGAATCCTGAAGACTACCCGTGCCTACTGACAACTACCTACCCGTGAAGTGCATGGGAACCTCCTATGTACTACCAGGTGTGCCTCCTGAGCCGTGCGAGCAGTTCAGGAGGCTGCTCTTGCCAATGCCGAAAGGAGGCAGGGGCTGCAGCTGCAGCTCCTGCTCGAGCTTGTGAGGAACAGGCTATTTCTGGCCTGTTCCGCATCCCTGTTTACGTGCCTGAGTCTTAGGGGCAGGTCGAAACAATGAGGGCCTGAAAATGGCCCTCCGTTTCAGGCTGGAAAAACTCTGGGAAAGACCCAGAAATAGGCTGAAACGGAGTAGGGCCTGCAGGCCCTCGTTTTTCAGCTTTCAGGCTGAAACGACCGGGGCCTGTAAGCGCTAAGTTTTAGGCTTTTAGGCTGAATGTCCTGGACGGGCCCTTCAGGGCCCGTGTGGCTACGCAGTATGCCACAGACAGAGAGAGAGAGAGAGAGAGAGAGAGAGAGAGAGAGAGAGAGGAATGGACGCTTGCGATTGTGAAAAAGAGGTAGGAGAGAAAAGATAGCGTGGGAGGAGGAAGGGATCAGAGAAAAATCGGAAGGACAAAGGGAGAGCAGAAAAGCGCATTGGAAGACAGAGGTGAAAAATAAGAAGGGCGGATTGTGTGTGTGTGTGCGTGTGTGTGTGTGTGTGTGTGTGTGTGTGTGTGTGTGTGTGTGTGTGTGTGTGTGTGTGTGTGTGTG